GTTGGTGAAAAAAGGTCAGAAATATGTGATGGGGAAAAATTTAAAAATGACATATGGGACCCTTCGGACACCAACAAATTTTTTGGGCTAAGAAGAGGTCAAGATGATGAGAATATAGCAAGCAAGAAAGGGATTCATATTGTAATTTTCTGCACAGTCATTTGTAGATGTGCATGTGTCAGCAGGTACTCTCATATGTAGTAAAAGGGCACTGGCTTTGTAAACCACTCTTGGATGCTTAATGACAACAAGCTGACACTGCACTTCATGCTTTTCAGCACTATAATGATTCGCAATGATTATTTGCCATGACAGAGGAATATACAATGAAACACCTTTCTGTTGTAGTGATTAATTGCAGCAGTAATATCTTTTTTGTATGAGAGAAGTTATTTGAGAAGATGCTGTGGTGATTGTTTATAATTCTTATGCCAATCATTTGTGATGTTCATGCAATATCCAATTTTTTTTTTTTTTTTTTTTTTTTTTTTGGTCATGCATGAGAATTTGATGTAGAATTCCTCTTGTTTATTCCTCAAACTATGGAAATTGACACTTTCAGATGCCATATCTTGTCAACTGTGTCAACTCATGTATTCAACTTTTTTAACTCACCAATAGTATGAAGGTTCCAAAAAAAGCTATTATGGTGTATACAGTGGCACAGTTAGGGTTTTCAGCACCTAGGGTAAACTGAAGATTTCACATCCCCTTCTATGTGCCAAAATGTATGGAACATCAACCTGACCCTTTAAATACTGTGCTTTGGGGAGGGTAAGCTCCTTGCCAGTAGTATGTAACAGGTTTTACTGCAATAGAATAAACACTTTGCTGAGGATATGTTTCAATAGTATTTTTCAGGAACTTACCTGAAACTGATATCTGTTAGTTGCAGTGGACTGATTTTCAAGTTTCCCCTTCCCCCCAATCTGCATCTATATACAAACATAAGTTTGCCTTTTCCAAATCACCCTTTTTGTATATCAATTTTAAATTTAAGGTGTTTTTCAATTACCTAAGAATTCTCTTTAGAGCACACCAGGCAACATCAGTAGGATGCTCCTGCAGTTGTCTTAAGCAATTTACTGCAAATAAAATATCTAGCCTTGTAATATATGCTAAGTAAAGTAAATATCCAATTAATTCTTTGTATGGGCCATGAAATGCATTTCCTTTCTGAAAATCAGCTGCTGTAGATTTTGGTTCAATGGGAGTTTGGGCAGTTTTAAAATCAGATATTTTAAATTTATCAAGTAATTTTTCAATATATAGTTTCTGATCTAAATATAAACAACTGGACTCAAACTTCAGTCTAGTGCCTAAAAATTCTGAGACACTTTCAGATTTTGACATTTGAAATTCTTTAGATAACAATGATATTATAATACTTGTTTCTTTTACATCTGAACCTGCAATTAATAAGTCATCCACATAAAGAGCCATAATTACTTTCTTACAATTTAGATTTTTGATGAAAATACATGGTTCAGAGTCCAATTGCTTAAAATCTAATTTAATAACAAAATTAAGAAATTTCTGATACCATTGTCAAGGAGACTGTTTAAAAGCCCATATAAACTCTTTTTAAGTTTACATTTCTTATCACTCATATCATCATATCCTTTGGGCTGGTCTATGTAGATGGTTTCATCCAACTTACTGTTCAAGAAAGCCGTCTTGAAATCTAAAGTAAAAGTCTGTAAACCTTCATTGTTGATAATTATTAGGATTAAACACAAAGTGCACATACTAATTACTGGAGAAAATGTGTCTGTATAGTCTATGCCTTCCTTTTGCATGAAACCATGAGCAACAAGCCTGGCTTTGTAAGTTCCATCTCATTTTTCACGAAGAACCCATTTGCAGCAAATGGCTCTTTTATCAGGGGGGTAAATTTTGTAAATCCCAGACGTTGCTAACTTCCGTAGATTTCATTTCCTAGTCCATAGCTCTTTTCCATAGTTTTTGTTCTTCTTTTGGTAGATTTGCAATATCATCAAATGTCAGAGTATCTTGTTGTGCAAACATCACTTCATAAGTCTCAGGATTGAGATACCTAACTGGTTGTGTCTTTTCTCTTGTAGATTTTCTTTGTTCCTCCATCTTATTTGCAGCACTTAATTCACCATTATCAGTGTTTGAAACTGATTTGTCTTCATTTTTAATGTCATCAATGTCATTTTCACTCAAATCAGAACTATCGGAAATGTATTTTTGATTTTCTACAATCTTCTTTTCTTCATTAAACTTAACATTTCTGGAAACACTGATGCGTCTTCCCATTGTGGAATAACCTACAAATATCATTCTGACAGATTTTTCATCTAGTTTTTTTCTTTGGGATGGTGGCACAAGAGTATAAGCATCACAGCCAAATACATGCATGTTTGTCAAATGAGGATTTTCACCGTACTTCAGAAAATAAGGAACATGATTGTCAACTGAACTATTTGGGAGTCGATTATTTATATAAGCAGCCGTAAGTACTGCTTCACCCCAAAGGAATTTTGGTAAATTTTGCTTCAAGTATCATCGCTCTAGCTTTTTTCGAGTACACTTCTATTTGCTCTTTCAGCGACACCATTTAGAAAAGGTGTATAGGGAGGTGCAGGATCTATTTTTACACCTGCTCTTTTAGCAACTTCATAAAGTTCTCCACTGACATATTCTTTGGCATTGTCACAGCACAGTTTAGTGACAGTTGGATACAATTTAAAGAAAAGTTTAAGTTCCTTAATAATGTCACTTTTTCTTTTGAGCAGTCTTATTTCCATAAACTATGAGTAGTCATCAATTACAGTTATGAAATACTTTCCCCTATGGAGTGTTTGAGGTTCTGTTGGACCACATATATCAGTGTGTTTAGTTATAAACAGTTTGGATTCTTTTATGAGAGGACACTTTCCTATAGGCAATTCCTTAGTTTTAATTTTTGATCACAGCAGTATCCTAATCTTCTGTGGCATAAATCATCATTCTTTACTGCTAAAGCTGTAAAGAGATTTGGTGAAAAAATCACTAAAATATTGTCTGCATTTGTTCAAATATCCATATCTAAAACATTTGTTTTCAATGTAAACCATTTCATTTTTAAAAATAACGCTCAAACCTGCTGTTTAATATTTTTGACAGAAATTAATTGTCCGTTTAATTTCGGAACATAAAGAACATCTTTTAGCATTATTTAAACACCATTCTTAGTTTTGCCGCAAATGTCACAAATGCCTTCCACTTCTAAAACTGCCAATTTAAGACGTGCATTAAACAGTTCCAGTTTTAGGCTTAATTAAGGTAAATCATTCCTTGTGACAAGACATGTGAGAAGTTGCACAAGAATCAATAATAAATTGACCATGCACAACATTTCCAGCCATAAAAGATATTGCAGGTGATGCATACTGATTACTTTTTGAATTTGCCTGCTTTTTAGGATTATCAAAACATTCACTTTTGAAATAACCAGTTTTCCCACAGCTATGGTAGACGCAGTTCTTTTTTCTACAGAATGTAACAGAATGTCCTTTTCTTTTACAATAAGCACAAAACAGTTCTTTATGGGCACTAATAAAAACAGAGTTGTCCATATTTAGTTTAGAATATTTTTATTTTTTTAATCGAACAATAAGGGATTCAGGATCAATAAGTCTGTTTGTAACAAAATCCAAACTCAAATTATCACTTGGTTGATTTTCTAGTGATGCCTTAACATTTTCATATTCCTTTGGCAATGACATTAAAATGTAATTAATAATATCAAAGTCACTTACTTCAGATCCAGAGACACGTAAATTACTAACCAAGTTCATTATATTGTCGATATGTTGTCTCATTGACACATCTTTAGATTTTCTTATGGTAGCTAAACATGGAATATGTTTATGGTACCATTTCTTATGGTAGCTTTATGCGTTACAATTTGACTCACTGCTCCTTTAGCAATATACGAGCTTGCAGTTTCTTCCATATTTTACATGCCATGTGTTCACTTTGAAGAGAAGCAAGAATATTATCACTTAAAAGTGCAAGAATTAAGGCATCAGCCTTTTTTGACTTCAAAACATCTGCAGTTCTGCCTGCGCTTGCTTCTGTTTCTAAAAATGTATCCAATTCCTTTGCAGTAAATACTGCTTGAACCCTTCGACACCAAACAGTAAAGTTATTAATGCCATCAAATGGCGCAGCACCAAAAACTTCTTTTTCACTTCCACTTGAAAAAGCAATCATTCACGAGAAAACAAAACAAAATCACGTGAACAATACATTATGACACTGGCAAAGAAGGTTAGATGAAATAAAAGATCAGCACATTCTAAATTTTGACGAACCATACTCGGGCTGTTGAACATTTAAAATGCTGTGGTTTGAAAAACAAACATTTATTACAGAGCAGCATGCAGAGAGAGAAAAAGTTTACAGAGGTTATAGGTTATATATATAGCTTTACAGCAGATCATGATTTAGCGAATCACAAACAAGACACAATAAACAACCAATCAAAAATAACATAAAGAAAATATAAACAAATAAAATAGGATTAAGTTTCAGATTGCATCGGATGTGACAGAAAGCTATAATTTTTTTTTTAACCAATAAGAATGCAATTACAAATATCTCAACAATAACTGTGTGTTCTCTACAGTCCACTATGATTTAATTTCTATTGATTACTTTCATAACACAGCTTGTCCTGCAGTGTTGTAATGACGTTATGACATAACACAACTGACTTTAGTGAACTAACAGTGGAGTTTACGGCTGCCCAAATTCTGTGTTTCAAGCATACTTGTAACTGGACCTTTCAGTTATAATAACCTATCATGGAACCTGCTATCCTGGAATGAATTAACATGATTACAACTACTTAAATGAATTTTCCTGTATAAGCATTAAGCATAATTTATCAGGAAGTATAAAATATATTTTCAAAAAGTTTTTTTTAAAAAAAGTGAGTTTTATGTGTCCTAACACAAAATAATATTTTTTAATAATAATAATACAAGTCCATACTTATATACTTTATTTACCCTCATTCTTTTCCTTGCTGTCCTCAAATTAATATAAAAATATAAACCATTAATGAGCCATAGGTAACAAACATTCAGTCATATAAAAATATAATCAAACAACCAATACAGTACAAAATGACCAGAAAACTAATAGTAATTCTGAAGGCACAATAGTGTTGAAGGTGTAAATATTTCCCTGCATAAAGGACATTCTTCCTGAAATAAAAAATAACTTATTATAAAATTATCTGAAATAAAATTATATTCAAGTATTAAATTTAAACACAGAAAACAGTGTGAAGTATGTAAAAAACATATTTTGATATGAATTAAAATAACAACCTGTATGAATTTATGCATTATCATTTTAATAATACTTGGATCAATTTATCATGAAATATGACATATTTCAACAAAAATACCAAAATGTAAAGTAATGCTTCAGTTACATAAAGTTTGCATTTTTAATTATTCAAAATATATTCTTTTTCCTAGTTATTATTACTGTTTTACTTTTATTGCTGGGTAAGCTTGAAGCAGAGTAATTTCAAATAATCTATAAATTCTGGCATTAATGATTTGAGTTTTAAAGCATTTTTATACTCTTTTAGAGGCAAAAATTTTTATAAATTTTTGTAGCAAAATTTGGATCTAAGAAAGATTTTATGAACATTGTAATAGTCTTTTGTGACGTTGCAATATCTACAGTTACACAAAATTTAAGCAGAAATTCATGAAAAGCAGAATCAAAGTATTTGTATGCCAAGTGGAAGTAAAATTACACAAAAAAAATTTTTAAACAGAAAAACATTACCTTGTTTTGCATCCAGGATGTTATGCATGACCAACAAAATAAATGACCACATGGTGTTGCTGTGCTACGATTTCTTTTCTCTAGACATAAAGAACACAAACTTTTTGCAGGTACAGGGTCAGAAGTACTTGTACTATCTCTATATAACACACAAAAAACAAAATGCTTCAAAAACAATGTTAACTAAAATGTTGTTTTTAAAAATACAGACTACAAAATTTGCTCATAGCTTTTAAAATTCTACAGTTGTGGACTGAAAACTATTGCATGTGTTCTAAGCAAAATGTTTACTAATCGATATAGTAATATGATTCAAGAACCTCACAATGTCCTACTGTGCTCAACAATGTCAGAAACAAGCAACCAGTTCCATGTACATTTAAACTCCATTCATTTAAACTAATTCGAGCAAATTACTTTTTAGCCCATTATCCCAGAAAGGCTATTAATTTCATTTTGGCATTTTGCATTAAAAACTTTAAATGTCCGCTTCATTTTTCAAATTGTTCCCACCAAATATTATCACCCTGTGTTATATTTAAAGAAATTAAATAATGAAGACTCTGCATAAATATATGCGCATAAATGCATGTTTCTTGCAATGTGATAAAACAATGGTACCTAAAGCAATCAAATTTTGAATAACGTACCTTTCCATCTGGAAGGCTTAATTTGGAAGTTGTTTTATTATCGATTTCATTTTTTGTAACACTTTAACAAATGTTTGATTAACAAACTCAAAAATTCAAAGCAAGCAATAGCAACACTGTACGGGGGGGGGGGAATTATCTCCAATGTGCGAGACTGTGTATCGGAAATTCTGAAGATATGCTCATTTTAATATTATTTTGCAATATTGCTGTTGAACTGAATTTTATGTTTCAAGTGTGAAGAACATGATATTTAATAAATAAAGGTAACACACAAAACATTTAAAAAAATGTCCCTTTGGACTTAATATAAAATCTGAAAGCCTTCAGATTTTTTTAATATTTTTTTAAACAATCTACAGGAACTCTTTTTGGTAATTAACAGTGAATCAAAAATATCTATATAATTGTTAAGCAAATCTATATATTACAATAAATATAAATAAAAACTCTTTTACTTATGCATTGATAATAAAGCAACAGCAATGTGATGATTTCATAATAGTCAGGTAAATGCAATTGATACAACTGCTTTGAAGTAGCCCAGGGAAATATACTAAGCTACATCACAGCTGTCATATGATTTTTATAACATATAGTTATTGTACTGATGATTATAACAGAAGGCAGAAATGCTACTGAATTTTAAAAATTCCACATCAAGCAACTCTTATTTACTTTTCTTTGCTTTTTAGGAGACTAACAGCTTGTATGGCCAGCTGCCTTAATAATTGTTATAACAAAGGAAAAAATATATAATTATTTTAATAAAATCAGCCAGTGTAATTTCACAGGTATAGTTAGTAGTGAATAATAATTGAAATAAATCTTTGTTTATACCTTTTGCTTAGTTTCCAGCCAAGATCTTAATTATACTGCAATGCTCAGCTTATTTATTTAATTGATGAAATATTCAAGAAAAAAGTGATGGTTTGTCAATTAGTTCTTTCAAATTGCTCTAAATCTCCTAATATCTTTACTCAAAGCAGGGGAGCATAAGCAACTCTGAGCACTTAAAACTTGTAGAATAGGTCAATGATATTATTACACTTGCAGTTAAAACAAGCTTAATTCCTTCGTTTGGGGATGAAATTTATCAATTTCAATTAATTAAGAAATAAAAATAAATAAGCACTTTTAAAGCCCATGAAAATTTTATGCCAATTATAATTTAAAGTTTTGATGACAGGTGTTACTTAATAAGAAAATAATATCTAGAGATCTGAAAATCCTTACTGAAGAATTTATTGACACGATTTGAGATTTTCTTTAACTCTTTTCACATGTTTCATATATAGAAATAAGAATAATAAATATTATTCTATATTTGAGTTTAATTTTTATTTACTTTTCCATATAAATCACAAATTATAAATATTACTGTATTTGAAATAATATGCATGTTCTCTCATTTGTGGTACTCTGCACAGTATATCTTGTTCAAAAATAGCAATTCCTAAAATATAACAAAATCATTGAGCAAAGTTTGTGTCTAATGCAAAAGTTAAATGCACAGCCTGCAATTAATTGTGATAAAGCATTATTAATGTTTTTTCTCTTCATTTAGCACATAATAAGAATTAAGTCAAGCAAATTAACCACACATCCCCCCCCCAAAAAAAAAAAAAAAAAAAAAAAAAAAAAAAAAAAAACTGTCCACATGCTTTAACTGCAAAGCATATTTTTTGACAGCATCAATTTCCCCCATAATTCATTTCTCAATCAATTATTAATTCAATAAAATCTGTTACAGGTATGTTTGAGCAATTCCTTAATTTTAAATTTACACTTCAGAATCTGTTTAAACTAAAAGCAATAATTTATAGTGGAAATTCATCTTAAAATACATACTTAACTTTCTCTAATTTACTATGTTTTAGGGGATCTTTCATACTAGTTGAATACATTGTCATAATCAAACTCAAGCAGAGCTGACTTGCAGCTATCCAGCCCAATATTCGATATGGTTTTTGATAAGCAGGATGAGCCAACCAACGTCTTATGACAACCTGCAGAGAAACGTAATTAACATAAAATGATATGTAAATCAATACACTTTTATACAGTTATAAATAAATTTGGCTTGCTTAAAGCACATTTTAAATATGAAAACCTACACACATAGTTATTTAACAGCTATGCATGGATTACTAATGCTAATTTAAACTAAATTATTGATAAATATTAATAATTAGTACATATAATCATTTTTAATCATTTTCAGGTCTTCAGCCTAACCTATTTCAATAATAATAATGTAGTGATACTTAGTTATTTGACAGTTTAATTTATTTATACTTAGTTACAAAACTATTTTTAAGGAAAGCAACATCATGAAATTCAGTTACTGATAGAGATTTATCAATATTTTTTTGCTGGGAGGCAGAGAATGTGAGTTACAGCATTTTATGACTGCTAGCAGTGCTGGATTTAGCATTTTTCCTAGGTGGCCAAAAAATTGCTGCCCTCACCCAACTTCTTTTAAGTTTCTCTAACAAATTTTAATTTTTTTAATAAACATAGAAATAGGTAGGGTTTCAGATAAAATGTAAAATCAATTTTATAGTAAGAAATTCTTTATGTGCCATTTTTGTTATAAAAGAAATATACATAACAAATGGTTTAGTTTCTTTACTTATGTCAAAGCATAAGAGGGCTATCTGCCTAAGAGGAGAGATGCCTGAGGACTTTCTAAGAATAATTGGCTCGTATACAAGCTATGCATGAATAAAATGACAGAAACCCCCATGCAGCCAGCTATTTTACCGGGATTCTAACCCCTGGCCCGGACTTCACCGGTCAGCCGCTGGTGGCTGAACATACATACCAAAAGTTACATACTTAAAAAACCCATGCGAATCCTCCTAACACAGTTGCCTCTCTGGAAATTTTTTCTGAAATAGGCATTTTTTCAATATTTGCAACAATAACTACTCATAATAATAAATGATACTAAAGAAAACAGTTCAATACTAAACACTAAAATAGTTCAACACGGTACAAAAATGGGAATCACATATTATTAAATAATAAAAAAAATTTAAACAAAGCAAATTTATAAACAATTAGTGATTTATAAGCAAATGCATTAGTGATATAACCATTGCATTAGTGATTTATACGCAAATTACAAAATCACTAATGCAATGGATTGAAAAATTTTATACCAATCAACAATTTATCCAATCCACAGACAACAGGAAAAGAAACATAGAGAAATATAATAGCAAATCACGAGAACAAGTAAAAAATTATCTAATAAGCAGTTTAATTACTTGAATAACAGTAATAAATACAAGAGATAAATTCAAGAAATTTTTCCCCAATACTTTGAGCTTATATTTCATGGAAAAAGAACAAATGCATGCATTTTATTCAAAATTCAGTGCGAATTTTTACCATCCCTATCTTAATATATTTGCCTTTACAGATGTCATTCGTGAAATTCAGGCTAATGTACGCTCTTTTGAAAAAAAAAAAAAATTGAAGCACCATGAAGGAAGTGGTTGTTTTTATGAAATTGAATATGTGTATAGCTCATACACAGATCATAAAATGATTAAAAAATCAAGGTTATAGTACCTGTTTACGGCTCACAATCACTCACTGAGTATGCAAATTAGTAGTTGGTCGAACCTCGTCTGGCGGCAATGCATGCTTGAATTCATGGAGGTAAGGAGTGGTAGAGGTTCCTTATGTCATCCTGTGACACATTCTGCCAGGCATTCATCAGTTCTTACTCCAGATCTACGATATTTTGCGGTGCCCAAATCTGGTGGCCCCTCATATCCCAGACATGCTCGATTGGTGAAAGGTCTGGTGACCTTGCTGGTCAAGGAAGAGTATCAACCTCATGGAGACAGTCCAGAGATATGCAAGTGGTATGTGGCCTGGCATTATCTTGTTGGAAAATGGCCCCAGTATGACGTGCCATGAAGGGTAAAGCAACCGGCCACAGGATGATATCAACATATCATTAAGCTATTAAAGATGTACGGAGGATAACTAAAGATGACTTGCTGTCATAAGAAATAGCACCCCACACCATCACACCAGGGGTTATGGCTGTATGCCTTTGTAAAACAAAGGCTGATTGGGACCGCTGGCCAAGTCCTCTCCAGACACAAACACGGCCATCTGCTTCAAGAGTGAAGCGGGTTTCATTGCTGAACACTATATATGATGCCAGTCTGATGGCAGCCATGATGATTGGCTACGACACCACTCCAGACGACTCCACCAATGTTGTGGGGTCAAAGACAAACGTCTTAAAGGCCTTTAAGAGCATAACTCCACCTCAGAACAAGCGTCGTCAGATGGTGGACGGTACCACAGGAGGTATGGACGTGGCTGTAGTGTGTCGAATAGTCGACAATGATACCGTTGGGGCGGTTTGGGCCTGGCGAACAATCGTCCTATCTTGCTCCGCATTTGTGCTCCTCGGCCTTCCAAAGCCTTCATTTTGTCAGCAATTTCCTTGTAGCAACCATTGCTGCCAACGTCTTTGCACAGCAGTGTCTGTACGCTGCAGGTGGCAGCCTATTGCTTAGTATGACCACCCAGCTTCACGCAACCCTATAATGCAACCACATTTGAAGTCCTTTTATTTGTCTGTAAGGTCTTTGATATCATCTTAATGGCATCTTTAGGTGCTTCTTTACGGAATTACAATGGCAGCAACAAAAAAAGATAAATTTTCCGCCTCTGTTACTGGTTTCATACTTTGCAAATTGCACACTAGAAATGTGTGCTATGATCACAATTCCTATTCATTTGCCTTGAAACTTTGAACATTTGCATATTCGATCAAGATGTTTTCGCATACCAAATTTCGTCAGGATTGCAAAAGTCCTTCTTGGTGCTTCGAGTTTTTGCAAAAGAGTGTGTATGCTGCAATAAATGGTATGAAGCAGCAGAACAAAATAATAAACGGGAATTACCCAAACGAAAAAGAAAGAATGGTGGATTTGCTAAATAAACACAGTATGGAATGATTTCACAATTAGAATTCCTAAGGCGTATTTCCTGTCACCCAAAAACAGTACGTTTATCATTGCAGTCCATTGTATTTAAACAAATGAACATGAAATTTCATAGTAAATACAATAATTTTAAATTACAAATGTATTAGAAAAATGTTCAAAAACAGGTCAGCAAGGTAAAGATGGAAATGAATGATTATAGGAAAGGGCTTTTTTACTTCCTCTTTTGAAGTAAAGGACTGCTATCAAATGCAATTTAACGATGTTTTTGCATGACAACTGTATGTAAGGACAGAATATAGGACTCTTTTCCCCGAAACGAATTATAAAATTGATTTAAAAATGGATTCAGAAGAGATTTATTCATGCTGTCTGTACGTATGTATTTCGCATAGCTAAAAAATTAGTAGCCTCAGAAAGTTGAAATTTTGTATATAGGACTGCTATAACATGCAGTTGTGCATCTCCCTTTTTCGTTGCAATCGGTGGCACCAAAAGTATATATATATATGTGTGTGTGTAAAATATAAAATATCTATCTTTCAAAATCTTTCAAATAATAAATTAATAATAGCCCTTTAATGCCCGTCTTCATTTAAAAATAACAGAGCAATAATTTTCTAACTAAAACTGCCTGCTGTTCTGATGTGCACGTATCAATGAAATCTGAACCCGATATCTGGACATTAACTTGTCATGTGATATGAAATGGAATAAAAGGTTAATTGCATCACAGCTCCCTCTCTTCTTCTTTCTTGCTTTGTTTCACTGCTTTGCATTGCCACTAGCCACACAGAGTTTACTTTTCCAATTTCGTCAATTGTTTAAAAAATGTAAGCTGTATAAAATTCTAGGGTGCATAGAGTACCCATAGTGATGAAGTGCATTACCATGGAATAAAATTATGTGTGGAATTTATTGTTATGAGTGTTCTTCAAATGTCATCTTGTTAACTATGCATTTATAATGCCGAGAACAACCGCTAATCTGTTGCATCTTACTTTCCACCAAGTCATCTTATCACAATAATGGAACAGTTATATTATATATATATATATATATGCGTGTGTTTTGAAGCTTCTAAACATTTTCCCTTGACAAGTTCTGTTTGAAGCTTTTGAAAAGAGGAAATTAACAAAAGTTTTCATACTCTGTTTTTTTCCCCACTTTTCTTGTTGTAAAAATTTCTTTTTAGGGTTATAGGTTTTAATTTCTTTAACTATTTAAGATTAGTTTATAAAAATTCAGCAGCTCAAGGCACGAATTTTAGACTTTTTAGTTCTTTCATTTTTTTTTAAAAAGCGCTTTTGACTACTTTATTATTTTCTTGATATATATATATCATTAAATATAACAAATTTTTGAAAGAGTGTAGAAGAAAGTTTTAACACTTCAGATATACAGTTATTGTAAAAAAGATTCAATGAAATTAAAAAAAAAAAAAAAATGCAGTTAATTCAAATCAAAATATCTTATCATCAAAAATGAGGGCATGCACAAGGCAGCAATCTGTATAAACAAAATTAAAAATATATAAATTCATCACTGTCTGTTAGATAAGCAAATAATTCAAGTTTCACACAAATAATATTTTTGTGAATAATAAATAATGTAAGCAAGTGATTCTTATCGCCGTAACTGCCATATTTTAAAAGGTCATCCTAGTACATAATTTTTATTTTGACTAGTTTGTTTTAAAACCATTACTTTAAAGTAAACAATGCCTTTTAAACTAATATGACAGCAATTTGAACAACTGGATGCATTTGAGTAGTGTTGCATCACAGGGCTGCATGAAGGAGGATTGTTATTTCATTGCATTGCATGCCATATAAATAACCTGGATGTTATTGTCACATGGTTCAAGAAGATACACATTCATATACAGGTTCTCAGAGATATTAACAGACAATAAGAAGGGAAAACCAAAGGGTTGTTTCAACAAGCACAAACTGTCTCATTTGTCATGGCTACTGACAGTGATCCTCTATGCAGTCCCTTCAAGTAAAATACCATTACTAGATGAC